GGGGGCACGGGGATGGGCAGAGGGGAGGGTGGGCACGACGATAGACAGGAGAGGGGTCACGGCAATAGGCACAAGGAGAGGGGGGCACAGGGGTGGGCACAAGGGATGGAGGGGCATGGGGATGGGCATGGGGGTGCATAGGGATGGGCACAGGGAGGGGGGGCATGGATATGGAGCCAGGGGAGAGGGGGCCACAGCAATGGACATGGAGGAGAGGGAGGCACGGGGGGGCATGGGGATGGGCACGGGGAGAGGGGGGCATGGGGATGGAGACAGGGGATAGAGGGGCATGGGGATAGGCAGAGTGGAGGGGTGCAATGGGGATGGGCACTGGGGAGAGGGGCACAGGGGTGGGCACGGGGGATTAGAGAGAGGGGCACAGGGGATTAGAGGGCTGAGGGAGGGAGAGAGCCATGGAGAAAGGGGAGAGACAAGGCTTCAGATTGTGAAGGAGAAGTGAATGGGACGAAACCAGAGGGGCAGGAATGGGTGAGGTGGAGGGAAATGCGGTTAATGGAGAAGGGTTGGTGTGAGAGAAGAAAACAGGCACTGAGGCTTAGTGTGTTTGAAATGAGCTGACACATTTGGTATACAGAGATGCACTGCAGTAAGTGACCCACTGGTAACATAGCCCAGACCAGGCAATGAGGCTGTGTCCAAGTGAGGGAGTGCTGAAGTAGTTGAGCCTCAGGCAGTGAGTGGGCCTGAGCACCTTGAGATGGAATGGGGGTGTTCTGCAATCAACTGCAGTGAAATGTGCTGGGAACTGGGGACAAGACTGTGACAGTATGATATAGTATGTCCCTAATAGAGAACCATCATCATATTATAGTGTCATGCTAGTCCTGGACGATGCTGCTGTAATGTACAGTCGTGTCGTTCTGTTCTAGCGCAGTGATCTTGCTGAACATCTGGGTGATAGACAAGTGCCTAAACTGAATTCTTCATCAAATCACTGACTTTACTGGTGTTTTAGTGTAAGGCAGCCCCTTGGTAAAGGAGTTGAAGTTAGTGTGAGGTATGGTGCCCAGAAGAATGTTAACCAGCTGGTATTCACTAATAATGTCTGCCAAAGGTAACTGAAGAAGCTGTCGAGTGTTTTGATTGTTAGCTCCCTCTGCTAACGGTGCCGAGTGGTTTGGGAATAAACAGTGCTGATGTTACTGAATGAGCTCCTCAGCATCCTGAGTCATTGCTGCTGGACTGGGGGGTAACAGGAGCCTGAAACACATCAGGAGACTCTCTGGGAAACTTTGTCAGGACTTCACCAACACTGTGGTAATATTTATTCTGGAAACATTCTCTGAGAACCTCCCCGAAAGGATTAAAGGTGTGCGACTCTATCCTGGGGGAATCTGGAGGAAAAAAGCGAGTGCTTGGTTATGGATAATTTCCACAGGCCTGGGGGAATAAAAACTGACTACCCTATAAGAATCTCTGCATGAGAAACAGGAGAAGGAGCTGAGCTTAGGCAGAACAGCACAAGCTAAAGAGTTGGGGGGGGTGACTCAGGACAGTGAGGTCGACCCTCTGCGACTACCAGACATCCCTCTTCCCCAGAGCTGTACCTGAGAATCTGTGCCATCCTGTTTGCTGCTGGAGTCACATAGCAACATGCTACTGTGTGTCGTCGCGAGTCTAGAACATCAAACTGTACAGCACAGGAATGGACCCTTGAGTCCACAATGTTGTGCCGAACATGACACCAAATTAAACTAATCCCTTCTGCCTGCCCATGGTCCATATCCCTCCATTTCTTGCATATTCATGTGCTTAACTAAAAGTCTCTTAAATGCCCCTAATGTATCTGCCTCCACCACCCCAGCGGTGTGTTCTGCACCCTGTGTAAAAAAAAAACTTGCCCCTTACATCTCCTTTAAACTTTCCCCCTCTCACCTTAAATGCATGCCCCTTAGTTTTAGACATTTCAACTCGAGGAAAAAGATTCTGACCGTCAGCACTATCTCTGCATCTCATAATTTTAGACTTCTACCAAGTCTCCCCTCAGCCTCTGCCGCTCAAGGGAAAACAACCCGAGTTTTTCTAGCCTCTCCTTATAGCTCATACCCTCTAATCCAGGCAGCATCCTGGTAAACCTCTTCTGCACCCTCTCCAAAGCCTCCACATCCTTCCTGTAATGTGGTGACTAGAACTGAACACAATACTCTAAGTGTGGCCATATGCCTTCTTTCCTACCCTATCTACTTGCATGGCCACTTTCAGGGAGCTGTGGATTTGTACCCCAAGGTCCCTCAGTATATCAATGCTGTTCAGAGTCCTGTCATTAACTACACTTTTCCCTAACAGTTGACCTCCCAAAGTGCAGCACCTCACACTTACCCAAATTAAACTCCATCTGCCATTTCCCCGCCCATATCTGCAACTGATCTATATCCCGCTGTATCCTTTGACAACCTTTTACACTATCCACAGCTCCAGTGATCTTTGTATTGTCTGCAAACTTACTAACCCACCCATCTACATTTTCATCCATGTCATTTATATAGATACGCCAGGGGCGGCACGGTGGCTCGGTGGTTAGCACTGTTGCCTCACAGCGGCAGGGTCCTGGGTTTGATTCCACCCTCGGGCAACTGTCTGTGTGGAGTTTGCACGTTCTCCTCGTGTCTGCATGAGTTTCCTCTGGGTGCTCCGGCTTCCTCCCACAGTCCAAAGATGTGCAGGTTCGGTGGATTGGCCATGCTAAAATTGCCCGTAGTGTTTCAGGGATGTGCAGCTTAGGTGGGTTATAAGGGAATGGTTCTGGGTGGGATGCTCCAAGGATCGGTGTGGACATGTTGGGCCGAAGGGCCTGTTTCCACGCTGTAGGGATTCTACGATCACAAACAGCAGACGTCCCAGTACGGATTCCTGCAGGACACCACTAGTCACGGACCTCCAGCCTGAAAAACATCCTTCCACCACTATCCTCTTCCTTCAATGGGTAAGCCAATTCTGAATCCATGTAGACAAGTCATCATGGACTCCATGCATCTTAATCTTCTAAATGAGCCTACCATGAGTGACCTTGTTGAAAGTCTTACTAAAATCCATGTAGACAGCATCTACTGCTCTACCCTCATCGATCACCATCATCACCTCCTCAAAAAATTCAATCAAGTTAGTAAGACATGACCTGCCCTGCACAAAGCCATGCTGACTGTCCCTAATTAGGCCATGCTTTTCCAAAAGTGTGTAAATCCTACTCCTAGGAATTCTCTCCATTAGCTTCCTAACCACTGATGCAATCCATCTCTCCAGAGAAAGTGGCTTTGAGGGATTCGACCAATTCCACAAACATTGCACTGGATCTGTATTCGAATGGTAAATCCTTAGGTTTCTGGTTGAGTACATTAAGACATTTTCAGCTCAAAATTGTGAGCTAAATGCAGGCATCCAAACAAATGTCTCATTACCATAGCTCCCCCCTGGTGCGTGTTTTAATTCTATGGCCAAAGTCACCACCTGAGTCTCATACAGGACTGTCACCCTGTTACATGGTGGGATCCTAAAGACTAACTGTACTGTATACAGTAATCCTACTGCAAAATTTCTGTGGATAAGGATAGAGTCGTGATCCACTGTTAAATCTCAGTGCAAACAGCGAGCATTCCTTTTTGAAGCCTCTTTTTAGGAGAAAGTCCTGATGAAGTTATGACAAACTGTATGATACACTGGCTTGGCTTCAAATGGAGCATTCCATCCAGTTTGGGCACCAGCATTTAGGACAAGTTTGAAGGCATTTGAGAGAATGGTTCCAGGGATCAGTGATGTAGCATGATTGGAGAACATCAAGCTGTTCCTCTGGGAGAAGGGAGAGGAGAAGCTTTGACTGGGGGCCCCTAAATCATGAGAGGTGATGGGGAAAAGCAGATGGAAAGAGACTGTTGCCATTTTGGAGGGTGGGGACATGGATCAGGAACCAGTGGGTATGGGTTTAAGATGGTTGGTAAAAGAAGCGACAGTGTCATGAGGAGATATTCTTTTGTGCAGCACATGGTGGGGATCTGGCATGCTCAGCCTGAATATAATGGAAGTGGATTTAGTCTTTCAAATGGCTTTTAAGAGAGTTATATTGTTATCGTTTGGAATACTGTGTTCAATTCTGGTCGCCCTGCTGAAAGATTTTATGCAACTAGAAATGATTGAGAAAAGATTTACCAGGATGTTGCTAGGATTGGAGAGTTTGACTTGTAGGGAGACGCTGAATAGTCTGGGGCTATTTTCCCTGGAGCATCGAAGGCTGAGGGGTGACCTTATAGAGGTTTATAAAATGTGGCGTATGGATAGGGTGAAGAGCCAAGGTCTTTTCCCCAGGGTAGGGGAGTCCAAAACTAAAGGGTATTGGTTTAAGGTGAGAGGGAAAAGATTTTAAAAGGGACCCAACGGGTAACTTTTTCACACAGAGGGTGGTGTGTGGATGGAATGAGCTGCCAGAGGAAGTGGTGGTGGCTGGTACAATTACAACATTTAAAAGGCATCTGGATGGCTATATGAATAAGACCCATAAGAGCAGAAATTAGGCCATTCAGCCCATCGAGTCTGCTCCGCCATTCAATCATGGCTGATAGTTTCCTCAACCCCATTCTCCCACTTTCTACCTGTAACCCTTGATCCCCTTGATAATCAAGAACCTATCTATCTCAGGCTTAACTGTACTCAATGACCTGGCCTCCACAGCCTTCTGTGGCAGTGAATTCCACAGATTCACCACTCTCTGGCTGAAGAAGTTTCTCCTTATCTCCGTTCTAAAAGGTCTTCCCTTTACTCCAAGGCTGTGCCCTCGGGTCTTAGACTCTCCTACCAATGGAAGCATCTTCCCAACATCCGCTCTGTCTAGGCCATTCAGTATTCTGTAAGCTTCAATTACAGACCCCTCTCCTCCTCCTGAACTCCAATGAGTATAGTCCCAGAGTCCTCAAATGTTCCTAATATGTTAAGCTTTCCATTCCTGGGACCGTTCTTGTGAACCTCTTCTGAACCCGCTCCAGGGCCAGTACATCCTTCCTGAGATATGGGGCCCAAAACTGCACACAATACTCCAAATGTGGCCTGACCAGAGCCTTATAAAGCCTCAGGAGTACACCCCTGCTTTTGTATTCAAGTCCTCTCAAAATAAATGCCAACGTTGTATTTGCCTTCCTGATGACTGACTCAACCTGCAAGTTTACCTTGAGAGAATAGGAAGGGTTTAGAGGGATATGGGCCAAATGCTGAAAAATGGGACTAGATTAATTTGATATCTGGTCGGCATGGAGACCTTGGACCAAAGGGTCTGTTTCCATGCTGTACAGCCCCTATAACTCTATCTAAAGAGAAAACAATGGGAAGAGGCAGGGGAGTGGGATGAGGTGAGTTGCTGATGCAGAGGGCAAGGATAGACTTGATGGCCAAATGGCCTGTGCTGTAACAATTCCACCATTCTATCTGGAGGAGATCCTTTTATTTGGGAGGTCCTAGACGGGTCCTGTCTACTGAGGGAACAATGATAGGGAAGTATAGGGGTGTATGCAAAGATCACAAAAGGAAATGTATGCTTCATGGTTTAGCAGCTCAAATTGCTTATTTATTTTGCAACTAAAATTCCAGTTTTACGTCTTTTTGAAGGTTTCAACAAAGAGGAAAAGGAGAAACAGCTGGAGGATGAGGCTGCTGGAAGTACAGTGCCACAGTTAGCCTTCCTAGGACCCACGCTGTGGGACAAGACACTGCCTTACGATGGCGATACTTTCCAGTTGGAGTACATGGACCTGGAGGAGTTCCTGTCCGAGAATGGAATCCCGCCGAGTCCTTCTCAGCAGCAAGAGTCCAGCCAGCAGCACCCACCCTTACAACAGCCTGCAAGCTCCCAGGGACCCCCCGTGGATCTCAGCAAAGCCAGCACCTCGGTACATCTGGGTGTCAGTCCCCAGAACCTCCTCCAGAGTCCTGTCCGAGCAGGTAATCTGTGCCCCTGAGCAATCTGTAAATACCCTTCTCACCACCACCATCCCAAAGCCACTTGGAGTCTGATCAAATGTAAAAGAAAGATTTTGTAGTCACTCTAATATCTTTAGAAACAAAACCAGAAATTGTTGGAAAAGCTCAGCAGGTCTGGCAGCATCTGTGGAGAGAAACGTGAAGGTTCTGAAGGAAGATGACTGAACCTGAAACATTAACTCTGATTTCTCTCCACAGATGCCGCTGAATCTGCTGAGCTTTTCCAGCAATTTCTGTTTTTGTTTCTGATTTCCACCATCTGCAGTTCTTTTAGTTTTTTTAAAAATTTTAGTTCTTTCTTAAATTTTTTCAGTTCTTTTTTAACTTTTAGTTTTTTAAAAAATTTTAGTTTTGTTAAATGTTAGTATTTTTAATATAGTCTCATTTGCAATGTGTGAACCACAGCAGCCAATCTACAAACTGCCTGGATGCCGGCTGTATAACCTGTTTTTAATTAGATTGATTTGAGGAATAAACATTAAGCCTAGGACACCTTGGAACCTGGCACCTCTGGCAGTGCTGCATTCCCTCAGCGGTGCACTAGAATGTGAATTATGTACTCGAATCCCTAAAGTGAGTCTGAACCTCACTACTTGCTGTCTCACCCCCCCAGTGACAGTCCCTAAACCATGCCTGACATACAGCGATCTCACTCTCTACCGCAAACTAGACTGAAGCAAACTGAGTTGGAAACTTATATAAATGTAGAGCCAGGCTAAGAAATTCTGCTCCTACATATCATCCCTTCCCATACCGATGGGGACTGGGAATATCTTTGTAATTAATCGTAAATTTCAGCCTAGATCATACAGGTAGCCATGCTATTGTAATGATGTCACAATATACTAAATGTTTGTCTTGAAACTGGAGGTACTTGTTCTGGAATAGCTGTGGAATGATTAGTGATTGTATTAGCACAGGATACTATTTCCCCCTTGGTGCCCACTTAAACTCTAATTTCACTGCAGTTAAACTCTGAACAAGCTTGCAACTAAAGCTGTTACTGACTACTATAAGGCCCACGTTTGCAGAAGCAGTAACAGCTCCCTTAGCTTCCAGATGGATTTTTATAGCTTTGCCTTGAGCTAATCTGCTCATCAGGAGCCAACACAACTGTCTCTCCTGAAACCATTTGAAATTCATATTTTGTGTGGAATTCTCGATCATTGTGTTGAATTTAACTGAGGTTTGACCTTCCTTTTGGTCTACTTGATTTGTGATGTGACTTTACCTTTTCTCAAGTGATTCGCACTTAGAGCAGAGAAACAGACCGTTTGGTCCAATTGAGCCATGTTAGTGTTCATGTTCTGTGTAATGGAAAGGTGATACTGTCAGGAGGCCCAGGCTAATGATGTTGAGACTTGGGTTCGAATCCCACAACGGCAGATGATTCAATTTGAAATCAATGAAAATATGGAATGAAAAGTTAGCAAAATGGCAACCACTGTCAGTTGTTATAAGATCTCATCTGGTTCATTAATGTCCTTTAGGGAAGAAAATCTGTCACCTTTGTCCAGTCTGGCCAACATGTGACTCAGGTCCCACACCAATGAGGTTGGATGCTTACCTGTCCTCTGGGCACTTAGGAATGTCCCATAAATGCTGGCCCAGTCAGTAACAACTACAACCTGTGAAAAGGTTTTATAAAAGCCTCCTACCACTCCCAACTCATCCCATTTTATAACAATATCAGTATATTACTTCCTACCTCATATATTTATCCAGCTTCCCCTTAAATATATCTGTGATTTGCCTGAACCACCCTGTTTGGTACCAATTCTAAATTCTCAACATTCGCCTGATTGAGGAATGTTCTCCTTTATTTCTCATTGGAGAGATTACTGAACATTTTTACATTTATAACCCCTAGTTCTGATCTTAGCTTTCTCTCTTATCGAGAAGAAAATCCAGGTTTGTTTAGTCTTTCCCGCTGTGTACAGGTTCTCTATTCTGGTGAGGTGTGTAATCTTTCTCTGTTTAAACAGAGTTTGACAAACGTTTATTGGGTAACGGTGTTGAGGGATACACAGCAAAGACTGGGACACAGATGAAGCACCTAGCAGCCACAATCCAGTTAAATGGCAGAACACACTTGAGAGATCTCTTCCTGTTTCTGTGTCAGTGGAGTTACAGTTTATTACTTAAATATTGTAATATTGTATAATAACGTTCAAAGATGCCCTGTGACAAAATTAATTTTACATGTATGTGAATATGGTTCCAATTTGTGCCATTTATTAATGAAACATTACCAGGCGTGTAAATTGCTTACAACTGCTGAGGCCTCTGACCTAAGACCTAACCAAATATTAGCAGCAGTACATGCAAGCTTTAGGTTTAAGACAGATGGAGAACGGGGGAAGATAGAGAATTCCATAGATTTAATACCCCAAGAGTTAAAGCTAATGTATTAATTACAAGTTTCTTTTGTCATAATTCTTGAGTTTGAGATTGTTGGCTTGCCAACCGATTATTGTACAGACATTTTCCAACCGTGCTAGGTAGCATCATCTGTATGTGGCGTCTGATTTCACGTGTTTGTTGATGGCATTATGGGTTGAAAACCAGGCCTCTGGGAATTCCTATGTGTGTCTGTGGTTGGTGTGAGCCTTAGCTGGTCACATTATCCCAGTTAAATTGATGGCCTTCATTGTCCGATTGCACTCGGACAATATACAAACCCATACAGATCAAAACCGGAAATGACACGACTCACCATAACAGACCAGGCAGTATAAATTCCAAGTGGAGTAGAATAACATCGCTTCATCGCAGGCCTCGCTGATGATGTTACCTAACACGGTAATGAAACGTCTGAACTAAAACAAGCCAGCCCCAACCTGAGCTACAAATCTTCCCAAGAACCTTATTCTTCAGTTTGTGAGGATGTAGGCAATAAGAAGAATGAGCCAAATTGAAAAAAACAAATTGTAGGAGAAACTCAGCAAGTTTGCCAGCATCTGTGAAGAGAAAAAGGTTAACTCATTGAGTCCAGTGACCCTTCAAAGTTCCCCAGCAATTTCTGTTTTTGTTTCAGATTTTCAGATTTCCAGCATCCGCAGTTTGGTTTGTTAGATGGAGAATGGGCTGGGGGACATTTTAAAGCTCGAGAAAGAAGTCTAGAGGAATGGTGTTCACAATTAATTTGATAAAATAGATATTAAGAGATGATGGGAATCAAATCGAGCTGGAAGTAAGAAGGGTTAGGGAACCAAACTTTGAATATGTTTCAGCTACCTAAACCCAGATTTATTTTTAACAAAAAAAAGCCTTGCCATTGGGAAAACTTTTTAAAAAGAGAATCTTGATTTCAAGCCTCTTAATTTTACAGTGAGATCAAAAAATTAAAAGGTCTGTAATTAACTGATGGTATTTATAAGACAGTTTATAGTGAGCAATTATATCACAGTGCCCAATTGTATAAGCAAACCAACAATCTCACCTTTCCATTCAGTAATGGTGCATCTTCACTTCCTATACATTCTGTGTTACTTGATGCAGAGTGATGCCAACAACGTGGGTTCAATTCTGGCACTGGCTGAGCTAGCCATGAAGGGCTGTCTTTCTCATCCTCTCCCCTAAGCTCGGGTTAAACTAAGGACCAGTTGTCCCTCCCTAATGAGGGAGCAGTCCTATTTTACTGTAACATATATGTACAGCACTGAGTTCCTAGCTGAAATAAGATTGATCAGGCTCCATCTAATGACAGAGGTTGGCTGGTGCCACTGGGCCGCCAGAACTATTTGCACTTAATCACATCAGCCACCAGAAGGAGCGCACCGCCTCAGTGAGAGTTCAGACAGGGAGTCAGTAGCAAATGCAGTAGAAGCCCAGGGAGTAGGGTAATAATGGGGCTGTGTGGGACAAAGCTGGCTATGAGAGGAGTAAATGTAGGAGAGTTGAGGCCCAGGACAGGGGCAACATCAGGAGCAAGGGCTGGAACTGGGAATAAGTGCTAGAGCAGACGTACTGGCAGGAAAGGCCATGTGAGGATGCAAACCACAGAAGAAGACATCTGGGGCAAAGGAGGCTAGAGTAAACCTAACAGCGGTATGTGGATATATTGTCTCTTGCAGCTTTATGCGAGAACATACGGCATTTTCGACTTGCAGCTTGATGTTTTGGTTGCGTGCTTTCTGTAGGAGATGGCTGAAACTGTTACTGGGTCTTCATAGTGAGGATGCAAATATTCAGTCACATATTATGGTTGGCATTGCTGGGGCGGGGTGGGGGGGGAGGAGGCAGACTGGGAGAGAGGGCCTGCGTGAGAAGGTCTGACATGGGGAGAGATTTATAGAAGTGTCAGGGAGGCCCTGGCCAAGTCGAAGTATGACCTCAGAGGAGCAGAGGTGGGTCTTCAGTCGGTATTTCATCCACATCTATTCTGATTAGCCAAGGATTTAAAGCAGGAGGCATTACTGTAACTGAAGAGTACACTTAGAAAATCCACCTCTTAAAATATTTAACATCAAATTAATTACATAGAGTGAAGATGGCTGGGCAGGTGATGTGTTGCAGCTGCAGTATATGGGAGATGCTGGTGCTGGACTGTAAGCACTGGGTGCTGACTCTTCAGGGAGGGCGGGAGTTATCGGGATACTTTCAGGAGGCAGTCATTCCCCTTACATTATCTATATCAGATCCGAACTGTGGTCAGGGACAGGACAGCGTGACTATGAGGGAGGCAGCTATCGGGATCCAGAATTTAGCTTTGAAGGAGCCTCAGCCTTCTCTGATAGCGATGAGATTCTGGCTCCCAGTGAAGATGGGAGCACAGAGAGCAGGGTGGGTGAGTGAACTGATGACAGCACCATGGGCCAGAGTGCTGTTCAAATGGGGGGAGAAAGAGAAGTGCAATATTAATAAGAGGACAGCGCGTAGTCAGGGGAATAGATAATGTTCTCTGTTACAGAGTGCACTGAGTCCCAGTAAGAACGGCCGATGCTGGAGTCAGAGATAATACAGTGTGGAGCTGGAGGAACACAGCAGGTCAGGCTTCTGATGCTGCCTGGCCTGCTGTGTTCCTCCAGCTCCACGCTGTGTTATCACTGAGTCCCAAAGGCTGTGTAGGTGCCAAAGTGGATAGGAGAGGAATTTGGAGTGG